CATGCCCAAATTGGTCTATATAAACCAGAAATGAGTTCAGGAGCAAGGGTACTACAATAACGTTCCTTTTAAGGAGGAATCGCTATTCTAGCCCTAGTACGGCCTCTACTAGCTCTTCTTTTTTCAAAATTTCATCACCAAACAATATATGCAACGCGATACCTAAAACTAAGTTAGTTGATTTTACACTACAAGAAAAAGGGTAATTAGCGACGGCCAAAGTAGTCGCAAATCCGTTGCAAAAATGGATTTGCGACGGATTTGCAACTACTTTGGGTCGTTGCCAAAGACCTCGTCGCAAATCCATTTTTGCGACTAATTTTTGAACAGTCGCAAATTTAGCGACAGATTTGCAACGCCTTTGCAACTACCATTTAGCGACTAACTTTCAAATTTTAGCAACTAAATTATTGTCCGTCGTAATATATTTGCGACGGATTAACAACTACAGAGATCAATGTTTTAATACTACTTTTGCGACGAATTAGTGACTGCAAGACCAAATTTTCGCGACTACGAGACTAAACTTTTGCGACTACGGAGACTAGTTTTATTGTGACGGATTTGCGACTATTGAGACTAATGTTTTTTGCGACGCATTAACAACTACATACGAGACCAAATTTTTGCGACTACAAAACTAATTATTTGTGACAGATTAGCGACTACTAAGACTAATGATTTTGCAACTAACCAATTAGTCTCTAAACCAAATTTGCAGTCGCTAAATATTTGCGACTAACTATCAATATTTGAGACCATAATTAATCGACGACCAATATTAATCACAAAACAAAAAAGGTACCCACGCATAAATTCAAATAACCAAAATGTTAATTTATTCAAATATCCAAAATATCAATCAATTTTGTATCAATGTATTAAAAAACAATATTTAACTCATATGACTAATTGTTCCAAAAGTTACCTCCCATATAAAAAAAGCTACTTCAAACAAGAATTAATAAAAATGTAAAAGACCAGTTGTTCATAAAATTACCACCAAAAAAATAAAAATCACTTAGTTGTATCACGAGAGCGGGTGACTGCAGGCGTAGGAGGCTTATAAGGACGGTAAACTTGTTTTACAAGTGATGCCATTTCCTGCAATGTTTTTTGCATAGCTAATTTTTCCTTCTTCCATGTAGCTTTTTCGATCTCATGATTTTCGACGAATTTCTTAGCACATTTTAAGCTCTCTGCCGCTATTTTTGGCTTTCTTCTACCTTGTTATGGTTTTCTTCCGCCATCTTCTTTAGTTCTTCAACTTGAGAACTTAGTTGAGAAATCATGGAAGGAGTGGAAGATGATGCAGTAGATTGAGAAGTAGGATCACTCTTGTAATACATATGTGAAGCACTCCCTAAACCGTAGACTTTTCCTTTCTTTTACCCACCTACAACCTCCAAGTAGACTTTGACGGGGTTTATCTCAATTCCTTTGTTCTTATATTCCTCAAGTTTTTCCATATATTCTCCCTGCATTAAGATATGTATTAGTAACTATGATCTCAAATGTTAAAACTTAAATAAACTAAATACATTTTAAAAAAAAAAAACAACTATAATAAAAATACAAGCAATGACTCGGGACATCGTCCGGGATAAAAACTTGTTTGGACTTCTAAAACACAATTTAATTTAATTGTTATCTTATAGTCTTTCATTTTGGACATCAGATCAGTACATAGTAGTAAAAACTTGCCTTTAGATACCATCTGATTTATTTAGATACCATCTGAGTTTGGTTACAAAGTGAAAAGTTAGGTGATGGTCTAAGCAAATGGTATTGATGGCAGTGAGGGTCCAAGCAGTTATTAGTAAAATAATTTATGTAAGCAGTTATTAGTAAAAATTTCGACAAGGTCTCCTTTGTAAATTGAAGAATTCCCTCCTATAGGGTATGGCTTCAAAATAAACCTGTTTCAATTCACATTATGCCATACCACATTAATCATATGATTAATGCCGGCAATTCATTCTCATCCTCCAACTCAATCACACAAACAAATAAACAATCCATTATATCTCCAAACATTAACTACCATATATCTTTTTGTAATCTTAGAAAAATATAGAAGTATACTCATACCATGACTTTTTGAGACTTGTCACCCATCAATTCAACTTAATCATTGCCCACACAAACAGAATGAGTGCTCTCATAGACTTCAGTAGCAGTTGGTAAAATTCCATCCTTTTTCTTTGTCTTGTATTAGAAGAAGTTGTTAGCACTTAAATAAAACAACAAAAAATAGGGGGACATAGACTACAGAGCAATTGCAATAAAGACCAGTTATAGTCATCTATATTAGTGGCTAAAAAGTTTCTACTTGCTTCAATCTTATATTAAAAATCATAAGTTTGCTACTAAAATCATACACTTACCATTTTTTTAACCACTTGAGGAGTAGATACGCTACCTTGGCGATGGCCAGGTCAAACTTCTCTAATGTTTGGCAAGATAACCGATTATCTCTTGCTTGGTTAGAACGTTTCAGAAAATCAGGATGCTTACGCTTATTTATGAATTCAGCTCGAACAGTGTCTGTCATGAAACTAACTTGCTTATGGAGAGCCATTTTGAAAATTTGGTTCAATGTAACCCTAAGTCGGTCCCCAGCTTTTTTGTCAAATTCTCTCCTAGCCTTAGCATCGAACTCAGGTCTCCAAGTATATGTACGCTGCACATAATTAACATGTAAAGTAAATTATTTTAACTCAAAATAGCATATTATACATTAATAATTTTATTTCTGATTTATTTAACATAAAGCAGCCCAACTTCAGATTGTTATCTCTAACTTCAAACTGTTTTATCTAGGCATGCAGTAAATATGGCCAGCAGTACCAAGTGAAATATAAATCAGAGTATAAATCAGATACAATTGTGCCATCACTTCAAAAGGGCAACAAAGTATATGCATTAATTTAATATTTGTCTGCTACCTATATGGTCAGCCATTGGGTGATATCTGTCATCCCTTAAGCATCCAAACACTGGCTAACATGTAGAGCCTTCATGAAGATCAAATAAGATTCTGGCATACTAGCATTGTAGCTTCTATTGTGAAGATTGTAAACTTTCTCTAAATGTCGATTTTACAGGTTAATCTTTGCTACTCTTTGCTACTGGTGTAGTAATGCCAGAACATAAGCACATAAATGTTCTCTGCTTTTTTAGGATGTGAATTAGGCCATGTAATTGTTACAAACCATAACTTTTGAGGTACAATAGTTATATGAATATGATGATATTTCTTTTAGGAAAATATTTTTTCTGCCACTGAAAATTTCTTTTAGGAAAATATCTAGTATAACAATAATATAGTTATATGAATATGATATGGACTCTTAAGGTCAGTGATCAGTCTGACACTCTGAAGGTCTCCAGTTCGAGTAGTTTTTTTCCCCTAACATAACAACTTGAAAGAAATTAAGAGAAAGTGAATGTAGATTATAATACTTTGAAGTCTAAATGTAGGATGGAACTAGGAAATGTATCATATTAACTACGAGTATATTATTAACAAAAGCGGGTATGCAATAGGTTATAGGTGTAGTTGGTAATTCACTAATTTGTATAACGCGAGAATCCAAAATAAGCTAAGTAAAAGCAGAAAATTTGATTATGATATGGTTAGAAAAGTAATACAATTTATTTATGCATACAACTTGGAGGATATGTAGTAGGTTATCAAGGATTGGTGTTTCCATCATTTTTTTGGCATATACATCATACTATTTTTAGCTCATAACTAGTGTGTGGCCCAAAATATGCCTCGGGTAGCTATTCATCCGCTAGCTAGGTAAATATATTGAAACGGTTTTAATGTAATTTAACTCTTAACATTCATAGGTAACAGAAATAACACTGTCTTGAATGTCTACCACTCACTCATCGGGCCAGCAAGCTAAGGTCCATCTAGGGTGGACTTTGCATAAGTAGATCTTTTAATAGAAAAAAGAGCAATAATCACCAACTCATTACCTGCTGCTGCTGCTGGGGTTTTACGCATCAATGTTGATGCTGCTGTGAAGGAGGGATAGGGAGTGGGTCTTGGGGCTGTGATCAGAGATGACCAGGGCAGAATTAGTTTTCAACATAAATGTAATCCTTTAGTTTTACTTTAGTTGGGAGCTCAAAGGAGCTACTTTAAAGGTCAAACATAGAACAATAAATGATCATGATCATCAATCATCAAGAGTAACTCACTTCATCTAGATCAAGCACAACTTGTCAATTGGCATTTAGTCTGACTGATTGGTTCCTAATACTAGAGCAGGAGTTAAAAAATGGCTAAATCTACTCTGCCCTAATATGAAAGGCTTTCCACATAGAATAGGCCATGCTTTCCATAAAGAATTAGAGACTCAAAGCTAATATTGAAACATGCAACTTCACTAGTTTAAGAGCAATGAATACAAGAGAAAATCTTAAATTCTAAACATACCTTAAACTCAGTGAACCAACGATCCCTAACCATAAGTGGAACCTCAGTAAAATTCATGTATGGATGGTTGTAGTGTGCCTTCCAAGATTTTGTGACATTTCCACTAACGGTATGGTCCTCAAACTTGATGCAAGAAAGATTAAGCACAAGCATAAAAAATGATAATAAGCTACAAAGACAACAAATATAATACATAGATGAATATAAATGAACATAGCCCATCTGGTGAGAGCTCAATCTTTCCTTGTTCCACTCCATTCAAATTTTGTGGTGCCATATCATTCTCAACAGTAACATCAGTATTAGAATTTACTTGTACCTATTCATTAGAAGGTGGTGGTGTGGGTCGTGTGACCACAGGATTGTCTTGATCAACCGATTGATTATTGGCTCGGACACCGCCTTGATTACCTCCCCGACCAATTTTTGAATTTTTCATGAAGGATTTCATTTCCAAAGAACTAGAAAGATCATAAGCTCAAAAATTAATTTATACATAATAACCCATGATAAATTTATTTTTAAAAAAAAAGTAAGCTCACAAACATGATCAACAAATTTTAAAACATTTATCATATATCAAACAAATAAGATAAAACACATTGTCTATCAAACAAATAAGCCCATAACAAAGAAAACATATTTTAAAACTACAAGCTTTGAAATTATTCTTCTTCTTCATCATCCACATCATCATCATCATCATCCTCGTCATCGTTGTCAGTATATCCTAACTCTCTATCAACCTCTTCTTCAGATTCAGATTCAGTATCATCCCATTCATCTTCTTCATGTTGTTCTTCCTCTTTACTACCTGAGGCGTCCTCCTCCATTTCATCCATATCCTCGTACATAACACCATCATCATCATCTGAACAAAGGGTTGGGGTCTCAACAATGTCTAATTGGAAAATTGACTCATCGATTGGGACATCCACAGTTGACCTAGCTTTAGTCTTAAAAACAGCCAACCATTGACTCTTATCTTTCTTTAATCTTGGATAAGAGGTAAAATACACTTGATAAACCTAATGTGCTAGAACAAAAGGATCATATGCAGAGTATTTCTTAGAGTGGTTCACATCAACTAATCTATACTGTTCATGAATATTCATGTCATTCACTGAATCCATCCAATTACATTTAAACAAGACGGTTTTGAAGACATTTACGGTCCCCAAGTAGACCAGCTCAATGACTTCTTCTAAAATGCCAAAGTAATCAATTTCCTCCTCACTTATTACACCTACACCATAATTCATAGTTGCCTTGTGCTTTCCATAATCAAATGTGTGAAACTTAAAGCCATTGATGTCAAATTGCCTCCATGTTTTGACTTGTCTAGACGGACCCATGGCAAGTGCTCGAATCACTTCATCAGTCTCATTAGATTCGATAACCTAATTTCAAATTCAAGCCATTAATTAATAAAATATATAACCTTAGTCATATTTAGCGAATGATATATTGAAACTTGATTGTAAAAACTTACGAAATCCTGAAACCATTTGGAAAATTCATGTGAAAACTTGCTCCAAATATCATGAAGGTCAATACCAGGATATTTTTGCATCATCGACTCTTCAAACTTCCTATAAACCTTAAAACGTCAATTATCTAGCAAATTGCATAAAATAACTACCAATTATAGAAATTTATACCTTTCATATTCTCCTAACACACCACAATTAGAAAGAACATAGTGGTGTGCGTGCCTGACTTCTTTCGAATCTAAAAACCTAGTTTGGACACTTTTGCCATGACCTTTTCTAAATTGGAATAATTATGGTATAGTTGAATCTAAATCATCATCATCAACAACATTACGTCCTAGATCTCTAGATTTCGTATCAACATGAGGTTGAAAGTAATAAGAACAAAAGTTGGAAATCTCTTCTGCTCTGATTTTATTATGTTTTTTAGCCTAATTTGCATCGTGGTTATCCTCATCTAATGGTATCCTCGTCTAATGGCCAAGGTTGATGTCACATAGATATTGGGAAATAAAACCGGATTTGACAATGACAACAATACACCTTATTCAACCCAGATAAGAAGATGAGGGTAGTGGGAAATGTGAGGATATCAAAACAACATATGTAGTATGTAATTAACACTATTAAAAGTTTCTTAGTCAAGTTAACAGTGAATGACCAAGAAACTTGCATGCTTAATTACAAGCTCTTCACCCCTGACTCCCTGAGTCCTTACCCAAGTAGTTTGCACAACTCATAACAGCTATATGTTCACTACAGAAACCTGAAGTTGAAATGCATAACTCCAGCACCAATTCGCTTTAATGATTTGCTAATACATTTAACTTCATAATTAATCCAAACACATTTCCAATCCAAAAGCAAATCCAATTCTCCAAATAAGTGATCCATGATTACACATTATATAGAGGTGAAGTGAATTCAGACCAAGCAGATACTCAGAAAACAAAATGAGTGAATGCATTTATGCATTTGATGCCGGGTCAAGGTAAATTTTTATATCCAATTAGAATAACTTGCTGCCCCACAACTCAAATTAGGAGCAAACTCAATTAACATACTGTTATTCTAGCAACCACCCACAACGGTTGCCATGACAACCAACCAGCAGCAAATTTGGCTCAAAAACATAATAAAATCAGAGCAAACAAGAATTCAATTATAACTAGCGAGCCTCAATACCCTCTAATGAACAGGAATTCAGAGCAAAACGAGAATTCAATTAACAACAACCCCCCCCCCTTCACGAAATATACTTGTATATATTTTACAAATAATAGTTAAAAAAAGGGGTCGAAATAACTAGAAATGGGATTTTTACATTGAAAATCATTAGGGATTTTTGCATACTCAATCAATTTTGATTGATTTTTAATTAATTGACTTCAATTAGACCATGGAAACCAAATTAAAATCAATAATTGGACCCAAAAAAAATCAATGATAACCCTAAAATTCATAGTCGACAAATTACAATAAGCGAAGGGTGGAAGGAATTTAAACTTACCTGGGAAGAGACATGGTGGCGCAGCGGAGCTAAGGAAGATGAAGAACGACGGTGAGGGGCTGAGGGTTGATTCTCTAAAATTAACCCTTCTGCGTGTATCTTTCAGAGTGATTAATTCTTTTTTTTTCTTTTTTTTGTTTTGTTTCACGAGTTAAATGATTAAGGGGTTTTTTTTTGAGAAAGAGTATGATAGTTCTTGTTTTTGACGGTGAATAAGAGTATAAGTCTGATTGATAATTCTTGTTTTTTTTGCGGCAATAACCTTTTTTTTTTCGTTTTTTTTAGGAATAAGGGGTTTTTTTATTTTTTTTTATTATACTAAGGGTTTTTTTTTTTCTTTTTAATAAATATTAAAAATAATAGTAGCAACCACCGTGTTAGTTGCAAATTATTACAAGAGCGTCGCAGATTAGCAACCGCATAACAACTATTATAAATTCGGTTGCAAATTTTGTGACTACTCATCTTTTTCTGTCGCAAAAATATTTTTTGCAACTGATTATTATAGTAGTCGCAAAAATCAGTCGCTAATTAACGATCGCATAGCAACTATTGCCAATTCGGTTGCAAAATTTGCGACTACTCGTCTTTTTCAGTCGCTAAAATTATTTTTGCAGCTAATTATTATGGTAGTCGCAAAATTTCGTTGCTAATTCACCTTTTTCTTGTAGCGTTATTGATTAGGGGATTTTTATCCACCAAGCGCCGTTTGACAAGTGGACCAACCAGGTTCCGCCACGCGTCCTCCACGGACCACTTAAGACACGCCACGTGTCCACCCATGCCAAATGGGACAACCGGCCATCAAGGCCCATTTCAGTCTAGAAGCCCGATCGGCCCTAGGTTTACCTTAAACCTAGAGAGTTGCACGCTTCCCAAGGCTATAAATACTCGATTAATCCTCATTAATCAAGAGACCGAATTATTTACGGAACACACTAATAACCGGCTGATCTCGCTAGGAAAGCAGATTACCTACATTAAATACTCTCACCTAGAGAGACCTTATTACTTTAATTTCTGTATTAATTACTCCTTAATCAGGTACTAACTTGACCGTTGGAGGCGGAGCTCTCAGGAGTCTCCGTTATTTTGCAGGTACAGGCGTCCGGTTCCAGTCTCGGAATTGTAACTCTCCCGCAGGACATCAGAAAACCCCGAAACATTTGGCGCCGTCTGTGGGGAGAGTACTTCAGAGATGGCATCCAAGTCTGTACCGACCCCAGAAGAGAGGCGTCCCCTAGACGACCCTCAAGTTCAGTCGGACCATGATACCGAAAGTGAATTTGAAGTTGAAACTCATACAGCTCCAGACGGGACCCTAAGGGCCCGCCGTACCCGTCATACTGAAATAAGGGAACGGGGGTATCTTCAAACAGGAAGCGAGCCAGCAGGCGCACCGCTTGCTCGGCAACAGCCGACTGATGGGTCTGCTCCCATCACAAGGAACGAACTCATGACCTTCATGAGGGGATTCAAGGGAGAGATCCAAGAGTTGATCAACAAAAAACCGCCTGCTTCAGTCAAAGAGCAGGCGGCCAAAAAACCTTCCACTTCACTGAAGAGGAAGCCAGTTCAAGGGCGAGAGGCGACTCCCCATCCTAAATCTAAGAAGCGGGAGCCGTCTGCTCTTGATTTCACAAAACTCCGTTATCCTACGGGAAATAGGAAACCGGTTCGTCATATTCAGGCGGACGGGTCAAAGCAAACGTTCACAGATGCTCGGCACCTGCTAGAGCAGAAGAGGAGTGACCGATTATCAGAGTCGGCTTCTACTTCAAATTTTCAGGACAGTTTGCGAAATGCCTCGATGAGGCCAACTCAGTCGTACCATGAGAGTCAGTCAGGCGGCACCTCCCGACAGTCTGGCTTTCATAGTGCGCAGGCGGTACCAAATTTGCCATTTGTGCCGCAACAACAATATTTTATGCAGCCACCTCCATTTGGTGGACCTGCAGCAAAAAACGTCCAACCTATGGACTGGCAGCTACGGCTGCTTAGACTTGGTGAACAGCCGTCGGCCTTCTCCAAGGAAATTACTGAAGCCGCTCAGCCGGCCAAAGTAAAAAATGTTTTAGTAGGCGCCTATGATGGCACTACTAACCCGGAAGACCATCTGATGGCATTCACCAACCTGATGTACCTTCAAGGGTTGGATGATCCCACTTGGTGCAAGTGTTTCCCAGCAACTCTCAAGGGAATTGCACAGCAATGGTTCGGCAACCTGCCGACTGGTTGTGTAAACAGTTTCAGGACGCTTGCTTACTTATTTGCCTCCAACTTTGCAATGAACATTCCTGCGAAGAAAACGACCCTTGATTTGGGAACAATTCAGCAGGGTGAAAAGGAGGGGCTTCGTTCCTACATCAGGCGGTTCAACCTGATGAGAATACAGATTCAAGGGTTACCGGATGAGGTAGCTTATACTGACTTTTTTAGAGGTCTCAAAGACGGGTCTACCTTCAAATTTGATTTAGTTCGAAAAAGGGTGGCGACTCTTCAAGAGGCCTTGATTGAAGCAGAAGCCTATATACAGGCGACTGATCTGTGTACAATGAAACAGTCGGACGGGAAGAGGTTCGACAATAGAGAAGGACGACAGAAACAGTCGTCCAACAAAGATGAAAAAAGAAAAGGGGTCTGGGCGGCTGATTCCTCTAAACAGCCGGCCAAGAAGAAAAAGGAATTCAAACCATACTCCCCAAAGTATGTGTTTAACAAGGATAACCAGTTTATCCTAAAAGAAATAAAGGGACGGCTCTCAATTGAGAAACCGCTCCCCATGAAGGGTTCTGCGAGCAACCGGAACCAAGACAAAATCTGTGCTTATCATGATGACATTGGTCATCACACCAACGACTGCATTAGTCTCATGCGGTACCTAGACCGCTTGGCTGATCAAGGTGATCTTGACACTTATGTCAAGAAATCTACGGGAATACTTCCTCAAAAAAGCAGTCGGCCAAAAAGAATCAACAGGCCGACAGTTCCGATACTGATGATGCAGTCGTCTACACCATTGCAGGCGGCTTCTCAGGAGGCGGCCCCACTATTAGGGGCAACAAAGATAATATAAGGCGGTTAGATGTAAATTCCGTTCACCAAGAACGACCGTCCAAATATACATTTCCTGAGATTGTCATCACTGAAGAGGATCTAGGAGGAATAAGGGGGCCGCATGACGACCCTCTCGTTATTGAATGTAAAGTGGCCAACCAGAGAGTTGGTCGAATCCTCATAGATACTGGGAGCTCTTCAGATCTCATCAGCAGCAAATGTCTGTCAAAACTGAAATATCAGACGGACTGCATACATCCGGCCTCCCACCCTTTAATAGGGTTTGGAGGAGGAGTCGTCCACCCACTGGGACGAGTTGATCTACCCGTCCGCCTGGGCGAAAAAGGGGAAGGACGACACATGGTAGTCCGATTCCTAGTTGTAGAGGAACTCTCTGCCTACAACATGATTCTGGGTCGCCCAACCCTGAATAGTGCCAAGGCTGTTATAATCCCGTCACTTATGCTGCTTAAGTTTGAAAGGGACAATGGAACAGTCGGCTCCCTAAGGGGAGATCAGAGGATGGCCCGAGAGTGCTATCTCTCGGATGTCAAACCCACTGCTAAGGCCACTGGGTCAAGTGGAGAAAAAACAGACCTTGACAATGTCAAGGAAAGTGCGCCTGTTCAAGAAACAGGCGACAGAAAAAGAAAGGCGTCCCAGACAGAGTCCGCCAGAAAGGCAAGAAAATAGCAATCATTGGCAGAGGACCGGCCGGATGAGTTCCGCCCTCAGCCGGCTGGTGAGCATACGGACCTGATATTAGACGACTCCCGCCCTGACCGAACAGTCAAAGTTGGGACGACTGCTCTGAGAAACCTTGGTGATGACTTTCACAACCTGTTGAAAGAATACAAGGACATCTTTGCATTTGAAGTCCATGAAATGCCAGGCATTAGTCCTGATCTGGCAGTACACAAACTCGCTGTGGATCCGAAAAAGAAGCCGGTACGGCAAAAGAAGCGGAACCATGGTGAAGAAAGAGGTCAGGCGGCCGCCGCCGAAGTCAAAAAATTACTTGATGCAGGGTTCATTCGGCAATGTTACTTCCCAGATTGGGTTGCAAATGTGGTACTTGTTAAAAAGCCGAATGGCACCTGGCGAATGTGTGTAGATTACACAGACTTGAACAAGGCGTGCCCCAAAGACAGTTACCCTCTGCCCAAAATTGATAACCTGGTCGACTCAACAGCCGGCCATGCCTTGATGAGTTTTATGGACGCCTATTCTGGTTTTCATCAAATTCCTTTGTGGAAGAAAGATCAGGAGAAGACGGCCTTCGTCACTGATCAGGGATTATACTGTTATACGGTCATGCCGTTTGGTCTTAAGAATGCCCCGGCTACATTCCAACGAATGATAAACACAGTGTTCTTTGATCAGATTGGGAGAAACGTCGAGGCATACATTGATGATATGATTGTTAAGACTAAACTTCAGAAAGATCATCTGACGGACCTCCGAGAAACTTTCGCCACACTCAGGCGGCACCATGTCATGCTCAATCCCAAGAAATGTGTATTTGGAGTTGAGTCTGGGAAATTTCTCGGATTCCTTATCAACCAGAGAGGAATAGAGGCGAACCCTGAGAAGGTACAGGCGGTCATTGACATGCAGTCGCCTCGTACCGTCCGAGAGGTTCAGAAGTTAACAGGTTGTCTGGCGGCCTTGGGAAGATTTCTAAGCCGATCAGGCGACAAATGCCTATACTTTTTCCAGGCAATTAAGAAAAAGGCAAGGTTTGAATGGGGGCCGGATGCTGAGGCCGCCTTCCAGAAATTAAAGGTTCACTTGCATTCCTTGCCAAGGCTGGTCAGCCCTTTGCCCAAAGAAAATCTCTACATGTACCTGGCCGTCTCTGATCATGCGTTAAGCGCGGTGCTCCTTGCTGAAAGGGACGGCTGTCAACTTCCGGTCTACTTTGTCAGTCACGTACTGAAAAATGCCGAGTTGAGGTATCCCCTAGTGGAGAAATTTGGTCTTGCACTCTTCATGGCTGTTAAAAAATTGAAGCCCTACTTTCTGGCACATGCAGTCGTCGTGTATACCGACCAACCGATCAAGCGGCCCCTTACCACCATGGAGTCCTCCGGACGAATGATCAAATGGGCCATAGAAATGCAGAGTCTCGAAGTTACTTTCGAGCCTAGAAAAGCAGTGAAGGGGCAAGCCTTTGCTGACTTTATTGTAGAGA